AATATGCGTTTTTGCTGGCTGTAGCAGCGCTATAGCGCTGCACAGCAAAAACGCATAAAAAGCTATTGCATTTCAGATTCTCGACGACATGCTTAATAGACATTTTAAGCTCATTGGGAAAGAATGAGGCAGTTTTCATGCTGTGCTTTTCCTTGGTCCATTGGACTTACTTGCTCTTTCTCACAGCTAGGGAATAAATCTAATAAGTATTTTATGGGTTTCCTTGCTGTGCTGCGTAGAAACCCATCTACTTCTTTTTAACGCGATTCCTGGTTGAAAATTTAACATTGGCATAAGTAATTACAATATTGTTTTACAAATTACTTTTTCCTGAATATTTTCTGGATCGAAGGACTTAGCGTAGCTGCGATCGTAAGCGAAGCACCACAGACACCTGCGCTGGTTATCCGGATAATTTTGGTTTTGGTATATTTTTGCCGGTGAGTGAAAGATAAAGGGAAATGGCTCCGTGCAGAGACGTCTCGCAATTAGATGTGCTTCACGTATGGCTGCATCTCAGTTTCATCAAGAGTCAATCGGTCATTAGCTTGCTTATAAACAACCATCGAAAGAGGGAGCCATCAACTACTTTGCCGTCGAGTGGTTGCAGTTGGCATTTGCTATCATTGGAGCTACTTCCTGAACGCCAGCGTCTCATGCAGCGAGTAAATTCGGAGAGAGTTCTAACTTTTGATTCTGTCTTGGAGATATTTCAAACACTTTTGACTGTGTGTAAGAATTGCTCTTTACAAGAAATTTTAGAAAAGAATCATTTCCAAGATCTCTGATTTCGAAGATAGAAGTTTTTTTAGCTTTGCAGAATTTTTGTACTGGATATCTTCCGAAAAATCTTGAAGCGTTTTCTCCAAATTCTTGCATGTGTCATTTTTGATCCCGTAAAAATATTTTTGCATAACTATTTGTTTCATTTAGATACTGTGCGCTTAAACCTTACTGGAGTCCTGAAATAGCTATTTTTCTGAAATTAGAAAAAAAAAGAGAATTTTCTTTTCAATGGAATTTTCATGAAAACTTTGTTTTTTTTCAGGAACGTTTAATGACGTCATTCACTTTTTGATGGGCCATAAAATGCTGGCCAATTAAAGGAATCGTCTGCTGCCGGATGAAGCATTTCCGAAAGATTCACCTAATTTACATAATGGATCCGATAGATTTCGTGCTCCTCTGAAATATTACTATTGCTTCTGCTGCTACTACTAGTACTGGTACTACTGCTACTGAAAGCAACACTTTTTACTACTGCTGTTATTAGCAGCACTTACTTTATTGCCTTTCTGCCGCTAGTGGTTTCCCCCAATTTACTTACTTTTATTGGCTGCTGTTTCTTCGATTTGGTGCCACTCTCACTTCTGTTAATTCTGCTGTTAATAACTTTACATTCTAATCGAGGATTTTGGAATTCTTGGATAACCCAAGAATTACTAAACTTCTGAAATACCTGCCACTAACTGATTGTGTATATTTTACACGTTCGAAAATTTGATACCATTCTTACTCACGCATTCTGCGTGGCGCCAAGTGGATGTTTGATTGCCCTTGAGCAGAATCAAATTTAGTGAAATTTCCGAAAATGGAGATGATCCAAGAAGAGGATCCCATTTGGAGAAATGCTCGAAGTGGCAGCATAAGCGGCGGATGGTATAATACGCGACGACAGTATCGTTCGGTAGCGTTTGGTACCTGGAAAGTTGGGGGTGCCCGAGATTTGTCTGTCAAGCGCGGTGCTTCCGAGGGCGAAAGCCAGTTAAAAAAGTAAGCAAATTTCTATTTGATATTAGATGATACGACAGTTGTTAGCTAAAGCAGAATTATTAAAAATACTCCACAAATAAACTTCTGGTAGCAGTAAAAGAAACTAGACAAATCAAGAAATTAAACCTGTGGAAAATAATTTCGCCTACATTAAGACCTTCCTGTTAACTAAACTGTATACGTCTTAACAAAACGCCACAGCCGGACCTCTCAAGCACATCAATTGTGGCGTGAATTATTTTGTTATTACTATTGTTATTACTGCTATCGTCATTATTATTATAATATAAAACAATATGCGTTTTTGCATTTGCATAGAAAAATCATTAGCGACGCGCACCAGGTGGGTCCATGCTATCATGCGATTTTGCAGTATCGCTTGGAATCCCTGTAGCTAGAATTTTTGGCATAATGATGCTTGAAGTTCAGGAAGTTAATTGTGCAGCCACTTGGTACTTGGACAGGAAACATGCTTTTCTAGTTCCCGAGTTAGCGGTTTTCCGCCAAAACCCTTGAATGGCTCGCATGCGGGGCCTATACATGCGCGAGGGTTGGTCCGGAGTCCTGGGCTGGCACTGGTCGAGAAATCCGCCGACAAAATTTCAGCGCCGAAACTTGCCAGGTTGCCGAGTTGAAATACCCGGACAGACACATACACACATACACACGCACATACACATACACACACCATGGGCCATCACAATGTGCATTTTTGCACTTACATATATGCAAAACACACAACAATTTAAATTTGTATAGTTACGTTAGGATAAATACAAATATTTTCTTCGATAACAGCGTCTCAAAGGCAAAAGAAGAACGGGGTAGCAGTTTGTCCATATTTTCTTCGATGACCACTGCTTTGTGGCGGTTTGTATACCTTCCAAAATGGTTTCACTCCAAACAGACGTCTTCCATAATATTTGCCCTGTTCGCTGAAATTTAGCATTAAGCTTCCGTTTTTTGCTTTCAAATGCAAATTATCACCTGTCAGCTGAATTTTCACCGTAGCGGTATTTTGCGTTTCTCTTTGGTGAAGTATAGCACAAAATTTGATTAACTTTTATGCCCCTTTCCTTCAGCAAATGCCTGCTTTTTCTCATTTTTAATTCTCTCATTTAATTCCGCTTTACTTTGACAAACTTTGGTCAGCTGCATTCATTTGTGCAATTCACCGGCTGCGCAGCTAGCAATTTTTCCAACTGTTTTGACTAACACTGAATTATCTGGTAATTAGGCTTTTGTTTAGTCTTTTCCCTCGCTGGCGACCCTGACTCTAGAGTCGCTAGCGAGGAAAAAATGCTCCAGAGGTTTAACAGTTTATCTGTTCGTGAAAAAAAAATACTTCTTTGATTCTGGAATCGAAATAAATTAGAATTATCAAAATACTATTTTGCCGGAAAAGCAGCATAGATGCCTTGGATTTGACAATGTTCATTTGGCTCAAAAAAACAGCAATATGCGTTCCATCC